TTTTGTTTTGCTTTTTTTAGAACTTTCTAAAGTCTTTTGTAACTTCTTATTCTTGTTGAGAATGCTGACACTGTCACTAGGAAAAAATATTGCACATGTACTTATATTGCATGACCTTAAACATTTTGACAGGCAGTGACCCTCAAAAGCTTTTAAAATTCTAGACACTAAAGACAACACCTTTGATCTCACACTTCAGTGAAGCAATAGCGCTGGGAAAGAATATAATGCAATGCTTGGACCACAACATGCTATAGACAAAACCTGCTACATTTTTCTTCCCTTCTGAGCTATCTGAGCATGAATTTATAACTTTTTCAAAAAAACAGTAAAGTCGAGAGAATCCTATCAGAGAACTAACTTTCCACTATTAGGATACTATGCCCATGGTAGACATGGCCTAATAAAAAAACCACATTGTGCTTCAAACCAAAAACCTATAGGGCATTATTCACATTACATATTGTCTTCATCCTGTAAGATGTTGAAACAGTTATTTAAAGGTTGCAGGACTGACCTCACAGCACTTACAGTTTGCAGGGAAGAGGCCAGTGCATACTGCAACTATCCCATATTTTCAAAATCTTTTTTAAGGCACTCACATAACATAACTGTTAAAAACCAACCTAAAGCCAACATGCTAATAATTGCATCTCAGTAGTTACACTGTGTGCTCATTTCAGATCTTTTTAGTTGCAAACAAGCTCTTAATGCTTGGTTTTCTTATAAAGAAAAGGTAATGAAACAAATTCCATTTAACAGGAAAAGCTGTTGTCCAGTGACAGTGGACCTTATTTGGAAAGCACTTAACCCAGAGATTAAAGAAAGGTACATAGTTCAACTGCAATTATCTCCTCTTTCCTTAAGAACTAGTTTTAACAAAAACTGAAACTTGAAGAAGGCAGCAGTTAAAAGTGCTCAGTAGCTGATAAAACACTGAATCACAGAAAAGTACTTTATGAGGTTTTTCAAAGCTGCAGTGCAAGTTTGTTCTCAATTTTTTTGTTGTATAGGAAGACAACATGAATCTTTAATAAAAGAATCCTTTCAATAGCTAGGACAAATGACATAAGTAAGTGCAAGTTTAAATTATGAGAGAAATGAGTAATAAACAGAAAGTGTGCAAAATAGGAAATGGTCTTGACAGGATTTCTCTGGGTAAAAAAGTTTTAAATTGGAATGGCAATTACACATCTGTCACCGTTGAGTTATGAATGGCTAAAGGAAGGCAGCCTTGACTCCATGCTCAGAAGGCATGAAGAGAGCATTATTCGGAACTACACATATTTTATAGACAAGATCACTCACCCAGAACCTGACTGGTTCTTAAACAACACCCCTCACACTATTGGTTAATTAGGAACAACACCTTTTTAAAATATCTTTCCATAAACATCACGTACAAACATTTCACATGTTCGCAAACACCAGATACAGAGATGAAGATAGGAATTATTTTAATTCTTTCTGTGAGCATTCTCCCAAATTTCCGCAGGACAATGCCTGGGAAAGTTATCTGTTTCTCTCTCTGTCAGCATCCACATACATCAGCTTGCAGAAGATTTAATGCAAACACTCACATTTTCCTTCATGTGTATCTGACAGCTCATGTGCTACTGTAAAAATCAATGTTTTAGCTTTTTTAAATCTAATATATAACCATATTATCAGGACACCAATTTCCAAATCCTGCTCTATGTAAGTAAAACACAGTTCAAAAATACATTTGGAGCAAAGACAGTGTGATTGCCATTAAGTTACTGATCAGTCTTCTAAAAATCTTGTAGGTGATGAACAATGAGTTTTCAGGAAAAGATACGCAGTTTAAAAATATATTTTTCAAAATGAAAAGTAACAAAAAATCTTTCTTTGTCTAACACTTAATATATTACTAAAGGAATATTAAAATATTCTATTGTTCTTAGGTTATCCTGCTCTTCCAAACAGACTCCTTTAAGTCACTTTTAAAATGAAATAATTTTTTTTTTAGAAATTACTGATGCAGCTCTACTTGGGCATCTCCTCAGTAACTTCTAACACAATTTTCTGTGACATACATTAGCTCTGTATGAACAACAATTGGAGTTGTTCATAATACACATTTTAGGTAAGTTGCATTGCCTTTTCAAATTAATCTATCCTGTTCCCACCCTGTAGGCACAGCAGATACTCAGAAATCTCAAGTCACTCTTAACAAATGTTCCCTGTTGCTCTGAAAGGAAACGGCCTGAAATCTTTAGTCTCTAAAATTTACTCATTGGTTTCTTTAAAGAAGATAAGGAAATTCTGAGGAACAGACACACCTCTGCTGATATAATCCACTTCCCAGACAAAGAAACTGCCCCTCTGTATTACCAAAATTACTGACTACAGCCAGAGCAGTTCACTGTTGAGCCAAAATTTCCCTGTTGTCATTTTGGCACTAAAACACCTCAAATCAGCAGATCAGTACATTTTGAAGATTTAAGTATCTAGGGATCTAGGGCATAAATGTACTCAGCACTTTTCAGCAGAAATTCTCTTTCTGCTTCTCTGATGCAACTCAGCATCCAGCTGCACCAGACTGGAGGGGAAAAGCACACGTGCTTGTAATCTGCCTAGGAACTGCTATGGCTCATGGCATAATATAGACAGCTTTAAGGAAATTCCACTTTCTAGAGAGAAATTACATTGATTTTTCTTGAATACTCCTGCAAAACAAAGCCAAAACACATAAACTGACTTCTTTTATGGTTCAAAAAACCCACAAAAAGCCTCCAGACTTTGGTAATTTGTATTTAAATCAGTAAAAAAGTACTGCATAAATGATACTAGTGCACTTGTTTTTTGACATGAAAACTGTTTTAACTAGAGCAAGTTGTATTTTCCTTAGCAATGCAGCAATTCACACCATTATTTATGCTTACAGTCAAACATATTTTCTCTACATTTTATCAGTATCTCAGCCTAGAATAGCCTCTCTGAAATGCTAATTGTAACTATTACACATCCCATGATTTTTCTCACACTCTTTTTGCCCGGAACTGTAACACTGATGTACACGGATGAGAAAATTCCTACCTCTCACTGCAATTGCACAGGGATTTTGTTTTCTTTTGAGTCAGTAATGTCTAAATTGGATTAAGATAAATTGCTTATGAGCCTTTCTCTACAGAAATTGCTTTCATGACTGCTATATTTAATGTCAGTTTACCCTAAAACTTCATTTTTTTACACCAGTCTCATGTGAATGAGTCTCCATGAAGCCCATACTCAATTTCAGATTATTCTTAAGGACTAAAAGCCTTTTGAAGACATACTCAAATTTTGCTGACATACTCATGAGTAAATGTAGTACCTGTCATGCTGGCCCTGTTTATTATGATCAGATGAAAATCAAAATATATGATCAGAAGAATGACCAATCTCAAAATCAGAAGTCTTAATCTGTCTATTAATGTGTTTAAACTTGTTTTCACTCCCCTGTCTGGGCAATTGATGTTCTCAGCAATAATAATCTGAGTGGGTGGCTGAGAATGGAGCGACTGGGCATCAGATGTAGTACTGATGCAAATTACTGCTACTTAGCAGGACATACATTCTTTCATCCAGGGAAATATTTATGATTCCAGAAGTTAGATGTAAGTAATTAAAATATTTTACCTGTCAATACCTGGAAATAAAATCAGTAGTGTATTCAACATTTATTACCTTATAACTGAAGTGTCTCTGAATGTCTGAATAATATGTTATAAAGAAAACTCTGAAATATTAAATATAATCTGTGTGCCTAATTTGTCTAGTTTGTGAGTTTATTTTTTTTTAATATTGTAATTGCAGACGTCATAACGTCTTCGTGATTGCTGATACACATTACCAAGACCAAATAATGCCAACCAAAAAATCCTGATTGGTCTTTCCTTTATTTTGGCATATTATTGCTTTCATAATTTTAGGTATTGAGATTAATGACAGAGGTGACAGGAAGGAAAGAAGAATAATGCACAACATTACTAGAAGCTATATACAGTTAAAATACATTGAAATTAGGAGTCATCATTTCTGTGTTGACCATAGTGCTGCTGTTCCACAGATTCTAAAAGATATCACAATGCAATCAGTATTTGTTCTTTGGGTCAAATATACATGAAAGCTTCCTTAATGTCCTGGTTTTCGATGGGATAGGATTCATTTCCTTCCTAATAAATGGCACCCTGTTGTGTTTGAGATTTAGTATGTGAATAATACTGGTAACACACTAAGGTTTGGGATGTTGTTACTTAGTCCTTACCCCAAGTCAAGGACTTTTGAGTGTCTCATGCTCTGCCAGTAAGGAGCTGGACAGGAAGCCAGGAGGGAGTAAAGCCAGGACAGCTGACCCAAACTGGCCAAAGGGATATTCCACACCACAGAGCAACATGTTCAGTATAGAAACTGGGTGGGGAACTGATTGAGGAGGAGTAACGCTTACCTGCACGTAATTTCTTAGTGGCATTGACCAGGATGTGATTTCAAACATTTTTTTTTTCTTAATCTATAGTTCATTTTTACACACACTTAAGCAAAATGTCCACTTTGTTATCTTCTCCTAGAACTATACCCTGAATAAATATTAAACATTAAAAAACCCTCCATCTCTAAAGAAAGAGAAAACAAAAGCAAAAACTCATTTATGTACACCAATATTAAAGCAGTAATATATACAAACTGTACTTTCAAAGAGACTTTTCTCAGAACAAATGAACTTTAAACTGGTTTCTTTTTTATGTGAACTACTTAAATAACAGTGATACTATAGCAACTGTGAAGATCTAAGCAAGGTTGGTGTAGCAAGAAAAAAATTATATTTAAGCAAATTATGTAACTAGAAAAAAACAAACTAGCCTTGCAGTCAAGAGTCCATTACAGGCCTTTCAATTGAGTCATTAATTGAGTCATTAATAAACAGACAGGCAATCTAAGTGTAACACCTAAAACAACATATGTTTCAACCAATTGTAACCAGAATCCAGACACAGTACCTTAGCTTTATCCCTCATGGATCCTTTTCCCAGGATGGACATTTTTGCACCTGTTTCTTCTTGTAACCTCTTTAAAGAGTTTCCTCTTGGTCCAAGCAATTTCCCAACAAAATTGAACTAGAATGAAAATAAGAGAACCTTTTAGACCCACAGGTACTTTTCCAAAACCTTAATAAACATGATGACTAATCAACTAGCTTTGAGCCTAATTGACAGAGATACCAGAGATACCAAAAGACTGAAGAACCAAGATATCTAGTGTGAAAGACAGTAAAAGCATTCATGGTTTATTTGAACCCTGGGAGGCTCCTCTCCAGGACTAAAAGGCCAGTGGCTGTTTGGTTTAGTGAACTGCTAAATAAGATATTTGTTTTATCAGATGGTGCTGATGAAACTCAGAGAATGACTAGGCACTTTCCCAAGTTAGGCAGCTTTTCTTGCAAGGAATACATCCTGCAAAGTTAGAGCTTTAGATAGATTTTTAGGATTTGATGCTTCACACATTGACTTGAACATAAGTGCTGTTTTGTGTATTGGCATCAAATACCTGATCTGCCAGCACCAGAACAAATGACAATCAGTAGATCATGGTAGATATTCAAGGGCATTTTCCAAAATGAACCCGGCTTTGTCTGCCACACTGCGAATATTCCTAAACACTGCACACTTCATGTTACACATACAAGAGTTTTTTCTGTAGGAAGAGGAGAGACGTCTGCAGGAAACTCACAAAACATAACAATAAATAAATGAGGTGTTAATATCATGTCGACACAAAGCAGCAAAAAGGGAGGAGTCTATTAAGTAATTTGTTTATTCTGTAATCAACAGTCTCTTCTTTTTTTTTGTATTATTTCCAACATCTTTTAAAAATGCTATGGTATGTGGTCTTCAGAACCTGACTGGACATCATCAGCACTTCCTTAAGAGGTTTTGGAATTATGTTCAAGTCTGAACAGACAGCATTCTGGTCTGGCTTTCAACAAAGAATAAGCTCCAGCAAAACATAAGGGGTGCCATTGTATCAGCATTTCCTTGGTTTTATTTCAGAGAAAAAGGACATGACGTTAGGAAATATCAATCAAGAAAATGTTGCTGTCAAAAATACATACAAAAGTCTATAAAGATGTTATAATAGATGCTGTTTTGCACTGCCTTCTATTTTAAAAATGAAAAAATGCGGAAATATTCTGGTTTTCACTTTAACCAGCAAGAATATAACAACACAAATGCATCAGCCATGTTAGTAACACCCAAACTCTGAATCATGCTAGATGCTCCAAATCCCAAGCTTGCTATTAGTCCAGTGTCTTGATTAAAAATAATTTTTAACTTGCTTTAAATACTGGTTAAGCTATCTAAAAAAATAGTATCACAGGAAAAATAAATAGGTACAGTAAAATCTACTGCTACCTAAACCAGAAGATAATGTGCCCACAGGGGAAGTAGTAAATAGTAACATTTTCAGGAAAATTTAGCATGATTTGCAGCTCCAAAACCAGATTTTTCAAGCTGGTGTGTTTTTACTTTTTTCCAACTCTACCTGTTGATTTAATAAAAGGTATCAGCTCTTCAAAATAGGGAAGGATTTTGAGTCAATGTCCCAGTCAATGTATCAACAACGCTATGTCTTCAAACTGTTGCTCAGCCTCTACCAAGGAAAACCTTGCTTACAAGAAGTTGTTGGCTTCAAATTGACTATTCAATTTTGTATGAAAATAAACCAAACAATGAGGAAGAAATGGCAAGAACTGAACTTTAATACTAGATATTAGATTTAATCTATTTGATAGAAATAAGATTTGAAAAATCACCCATTTATATACCCATGTATTTAAAAATTTATTTTTTATATACCCATGTATTTAAAGGTTTATGAGGGATGGCTGAGCAGAGCTTTTGTTTCTCTGCAGGGACCCTCTCACCTGTGGAAGAGAGGGTGTCACAAGTTACACCACCAAATCTGTTGTGATACTTACACATCACCAATCAGACAAGAACCATGTCCTGCTGCATCCTTTCAGTGTTTCTCAGTGTTTACGAAAAGTTACCTCTTCAAATGTGGAAGAACTGTAACATTATGTAACTTTGGAGGAAACTACGAGAAGGCCAACCCAAGCATGACTACATTTCTTCTCTGAATGGAATAAAACTATTAAATTACACTCTGTGAAGATTTATGTTGACCATTTATATTTAAGTACTTCATAAACTGTATAATCATTACCTTGACATATTGCTGCAAAGGAGCAGTATGGCCAGCATAGACCATGTTACATGCTAAGTGGATTTTAATCACTTCACAGGAAATAAGTGGCTGGGGATTTTAATTCTATTGATTATGTAGCAGACAGAGACTCACATTTCATCCACTATCTACAAAACATGTATCAGGAAGGAAGCAGTTATTTACAACTAAACACTGAATTGCTCTTAGTTTGGTTTTGTCTAAAATTGCAGAAAACCCATGGCACTATATCTGGCATCCTACTGTTACGCTCAGTCTTCCAAGCATGTCTAAAGCCACTGGATATCCTCAGCACAATCTATAACCCTAAAACTCCCCAAGGTCTGAAAGTACTGGTAGAGTAACTTTGACTCAATAACTTGTGAAAAATCATATACTTTATGTTTATATATAGGTAAAAGCAGCACATAAGAAAGAGGATAGGAAATCCAGAATGTAGGAAATCTGAAACACAGATTTTTTAATTTTTTTCTTAATGAAGATATGCTGGGCAGAACCAATTTTAATACTGGAAAGTTTAGGCTCCAGATAGAGTCACATGCATGCACATGCAACCAGAGCACAGAGTGAAGGAAAATGTGGAAACTCAGGCAGCTGGACTGCATGTAATGGTGAGCCTTGCCCACAAACATACATTCCTGGTACAGCAGATGTAACTGCAGATCTCATTCTGCAATCTCAGATCCAATCCAATTCTGCCATGTGTACACATTTTCTCCAAATAATAGTAGCTCTAAGTCTCTGGGATAGTATCTGGTCATATTAGAAGATAGCTAAGAAATGCTGACATATAGAAGAGAGAGATAAAAAGAAAGCTTTTACTGCTAGGGAGCAAACAAACTTCCATTTGAAAAATATTGTTGTGTTTCTAGATGTTCTTATAGGGGGCTTAACTTTTCAATCATGTTTATGAACATGATGAACAAGTTAGGCTTTCTAGCTTGCAGAAACCCTTCCTGGTTTATGGCAGAGATTTTTTACACTATTTTCTTAGATTTTTTTTATCATTTGTCTGGGGGAGATGATGCATGTCTTCAGGGGAAAATGATCAGGTGAAAGCAGGGGATGCTTTACTTATAATCAAATGCATGATGTTTTGTGTATCAACAACAGAGGAATAAACCTTCTCCTCTGCAAAATAAAATCTGACAGCGAATACAGCTCAATAGATCTTTCCTTTATCTACAGCCAGTACCTCCAAAATCTTCCCCAACCAATATATACACACAGTTTCAGCAGATTTATCTGCATCCTGATTACTTTCACACTTCACACAAGCAATCAGACAGTAAGGTGCCCAAAGCCAAAGCTCTGGCTCCCCAGTTTTCATCAAAAGTTTTTTGTTCAAACTACCTCTGGACAACATACCACAGGTATAAAAAAAATCTAAGGGATAGTTTATAGCATCAGCATTCAAGCCTCAAGCAAAGTACATTGACTGGTAGAAAATGCATGTTTACATTTAGAAGAATATTTGTTTCCCTAATTGATGCAGTCTGAATACATTTCTATTAGAACTGTAACACTTCTTACTTTATAAAATCTAATTTAATAGGGTTTTACAACCAGAATCAAGGAATATGCTTATCATTCAAAAAACATGTTGGTGTCAGTGACTGTTTCTATTTTATACACAGATCAGTATTCATAGCAGTAACAAAAGCTAGATAAATAACGAATGGGATAAGACAAATGTTTCCAGCTGTAAGATAATGCAGAACAAAGCCCTGAACTGAGAGAAGAAATTAATTTCTTCTAGAAGCAGCAAACCAGAAACAGCCCTGGCTTGACAACATGAAACAGGTTTATTATTTCTCAGTATGTTCACCACTGCTATCAGTTCCTTTGTGGAGAGACGAAGTGTCATTCCATTTTCAGAGCTACTTATCCTCACAAAATCCTTCCCTTATTCATGGAGAGGAGGACGGGGGTAGAAGGGTGGGGAAGAATCTTTCTAAATTCAGTCCTGTTCTCAAGAACAGTGGAGAAGACAAAGATGGTCACGCCTGAATAAAACCTTACTGTTTGAGACCTGCCTATAATTAAGGTCCTATTCTAGGACTTCTGACAGCTCATTTAATTTAGAACAGCATTTATTTTAAAAGTATCTCATGTTTTGATATGCACAAGGGACTTCATGTTAAGGAAGTACTGGACTACTATGAAGGCAAAATTTATTTTTCTCAACATTTTGTAAGCATTGTACTACATTGCCTGTAATAACATGCTTTAACTTTTGGTCAGCCTTGAATTGGTCAGGCATTTGGGCTGAACATTGCAGGTCTTATCCTACTGGAACTATTCTGCTGTGGGAAATGGAAAGATAGAAACTTCCATAGACACAGGAGGGTTTGATTTGCAGCCTTGGAAGAACCTCAGATTGATGTAAAAATAAAGTACACAGACATTAGGCAGAAAAATTAAAAACCTATGTTTCTATAGCTGTAAGTAAGAATATGCCTTAAGTAAGTGAGAAACTGTATTGACAAGATGGTGAAGGGTTTATAATATAGGGGTGTAATTGCACAGAGTAAGCTAAGAGTTCAGAGGTTGTAATAGAAGCATATGTGTGTACGTGGGATAGTAGCCCACTGGATAAAAGTATCTGCAGTGCAGCAGAATTACGTAAAGGTGATAGGTTAAAACAGCAAAATAAACTTTGTGGGAACTGTCCATTGGGTTAGAAAGTTATATATTGTCTTGTAACGAACAACTCATGACCATTTTGAGCTATGACTAACTGCTCGCTATCTTAAACCTCACAGCCTCTGAGACCGATAATTATCTGAGCAATAAATCATTTTTAGCCAACTGTGGTCCCATCCCTTCATTAAAAGCAGCAATAATAATATTCTATTCTATTCTAGTC